CCCCCCTCTCTCTCAACCAGTGCCACCCGGGCTTGGCGCTGACCCAGACCCACATCTATAAACCGAGCCATCATGCCACGCCGTGCCATGCTCTGAGCCCGGCCGCAAGACCCTGATTAAAACCTAAAACCCATGACTTCAAACTTTCCAAACTGTCAAAAACCCAGTCAGAGAGAGAAAGACCAACTGCAAGAAAAAGTCATACAAAAATCACCGCTGTGGCATCGACTCACTTTTCAACGCGTCATCTGAGCTGGGATTTGTGTCACTCAGAAATATGGCTGTGTGTGTGGGGCTTAGTGATTGGAGCGCTGTATGTGCCACCTGGATGATGATGGTGTTTCATTTTGTTTTAATGAGGGACGGACGCATGGATGGGACAAACTGTTAGGCAAGATAAAGGTTGATGCTTGGGGTTGAATCCTTGAGGATTGGACTGAAATAGACAGAATATTTCGCAGCAACTCACCAACATTGTTAAATAAATAAACAAATGCTCAGTCAAAGAAAGCAATGCCCTCTAATCAAATTATTACAATTGAGACTTAAAAGGACATCACATTTTTCAGGTTAATTGTGGAACCGTTATTTTTCTAATGTCTTCATTTCATTCTGGCTGATTCTCATCCCTAATAAAAAGCTGTGACTTTTGGTTGGTGAGACTCTGAAGGATCCATCAAGTATATGTGCCAAGAGTGCTCCCTGCTGGAGAGTATCAGAACTGCAGCCAAACAAAAACCAGCGTGGTTATTACATTTCACTTCAATCAACCGTCAAGCTATAAACTGTGATAATGATCTGGAAATTCAAAGTTTGACTCAAAAAGTAAAAAAGTCAGGGGATTTAAAAGCCTGTTACATTTGCGTTGACTGAAGAACAATTGAAAACAAATTGCATGTTTTAAAAGATTTGGCCTGTTTTAAAAGGTGCCATTATTAAATAGCACCTTTAAACAAACCTTTTAAATGTGTTAAACCTGAGAATATAACATTAAAAAGGCGGGAAAATGCCAAACAAAGGGTTAACAAACTGAAACAACTAAAAGTGAAGCAGGGCTTTGGGCTGCAGGCTAGCTGTGGCAGTGAACCGCTACCCTCTCAATGAAAATCCCTGGAGAGTCGATGGGATCTCGGAGTACAAGGGAGACCACCCAGGGAAACGCTCAAGACACACTGTTGTTTTACACACGTCTAAAAAATGCAACAAGGAGGGGGAAGGGTGGGGCACACATGTCAAAAAGTCAAGTTCAACCAAATGCAAGTGAAAAGAAGAAAAAAAGAAAACACTTGAAAAGAGAGAAAACATGAAACTGTATTCCTACTCATCTCGAGCACTCGTCAGATGGCAAATATTATTTTGGATGATGGCCATTTTGCCAAAGAGAGAGAGAGAAAGCCAGAGGGAGAGAGATGAAGAAGGAGTTCATGTACCTTATTATACGGTGGTCAAAAGGGGAAAATTGCAATCATCTGTGACTCACTTGGAACACCTTACGCACTGTGAAAGACATTATTCTTCTCTAATATCAAGAGGCTTTCTGGGTTTTCGCTGCCATGGCCATTTTGACTGAAATCGCTAGGGACCCTGCATCAATTTCAGGAGTGAAATGGGAGTGAAGGCTGCGCCCTTTTGAGGGCAATGACGATAAAAGCCAAACTCAAAGTCGTTTCATGAGGAGCGAAAGTGAGAAGCTTTGGCCGATTATGTGTGTCTGCAGGGGAAAGACGAGGAGAGATCATAGCAGCAAAAAGACTGGTCTGAGGTGTGTGTTTGTGTGTACAGTATGTGTGTGAACACTTAGTTTAAACAGCACGCCTAGAAGCGGCTAACTCAAGGCAATCACACGTCCACATGTCCAGAAGTCACCAAACATAAAAAGATAACTTTAAAATGTGCTTGCAGTAGAATAGACTCAAAGTAAAGAGTACATTTTGTTCAGTCCTCTGGGTACACACACTGTGGTTATTCTCTGTTTGCCTTGGATTGTGCCTTTAGAAAGCACACACACACACACACACACACACACACACACACACACACACACACACACACACACACCCCCTCTGGTCTGCTCAGTCTGTTGTAGCCGTCTGGCTGGAACAACAACAATGTATGAGAAAAGCACTTCCATATGAGTGTGCATGCACATATATGCACATACACATAGAGGAACATATACGTACCTAACCTTGCAGAACACACACTCTTACACACTCATGCAACCACATTCCTCCTTCCTTGAAGACCTTGAAGGCTGCCCGCAAACCCCTCAGTCATGTCGGTTTTTCGTATAGACTGGGAGTGTGTTACATTCACTGTTTTTATTCCAATGCATCGTTTCTTCGCTGGATTGTATAAAATGCCAAAGACATCAATTGACCGAGGGAAGTTTAAGGATGAGCTTCGGCTTGCTGCCCAACACAATAATGCTCTCCCTCCTAATGGTCTCTTGTAGAAGAAACTTGACACAATAAAACAGCTACTGTCCAACTTTCTTTTATGAGCACACTTTGGTCATAAGCCTTTTGTACAACCTTACATTTGACTTTGCCACTATATTTACTGAACTGATGACTTCATCACCGTCATCCACTACGCTCTCACACAACTTCAATACACTTCTTGAAATTCTTTGACA